GAGAGAGAGAGAGAGAGAGAGAGAGAGAGAGAGAGAGAGAGAGAGAGAGAGACCTGCAGCATGCAGCATGTCAGTGGCGGGGAGCACAAGGGCAGACACTGACCTCCAAAAAAAAAAGAAAAAAGTAATATTATTGGAATACAAGAGTTTTTTCTTTTCGAAATTGGAATAGAAAGGGTACATGTTGTATTCGAATACGACGTGTACGTGTTCTATTGGAGGTTCTCTGCTATTTGAGAAAAGTGGAGCCGCGCTGTTTCAATTTCGAAAAAGGTTTAAGGACGGTGGCCTCCTCGGCCTCCTATGGGCAGCTACCGGTCCTATGCAGTCCTGGCCCTTGCAAGGCCCCAAAACCTCAAAATTCCCACCCGCCCGACGACCACCGACGTTGAAATTTGACCAGCCCCTTTCCAGGCCCCAAACCTCAAAATGCCCACCCTCCCACCTACGCTGAAATTTGAAGTGAAGTTGAAATGTCTAGGGGGGGTTAAAACGCAACCCTGACGGGCTGCGAACTGTAGAGATCCGACAAATTCCGTCCGGCGTGGTATGTTTTCCAAAGAAAAAAGTAAAAAAAGGTTGTGGCCATAAATTGCTATCGCACCGCAGGAAGGGGAGCAAGGTTCCCCTACGGTAGCAAGGAGGATTTCAAGCAGTGATGTGATGCGGCGAAGCAGATCAATATCCATTCTCTGCATTTCAACCGCATTACGTCCACATTCATTCAGAGGTACTACTGCCGGTAGTGGGGCCTCGCCATCGACGACTGCGTTCTTTTTTTTTTTTTTTTTTTTTTGGGGAACGACGACTGCGTTCCGTCGTAGTGACGACGATAGTTTTTGTTTTTGTTTTTGTTTTTGTTTTTGTTTTTCTTTTTATATAAAGAGTTCTATTTAATCTTCTCTGCTGTACTTCTCTGTATCCTTGCCCCCCTCATCGACAACGAACTGGTTCAAAAAAAAAAACAAAACAAAAAACAATGAACTGGTTCTCGAACAAGCCTTGCTCCAACGGTTTTTTTTTTTTTTTTTTGGGAACGACGACTGCATTCCGTCGTAGTGACGACGATAGTTTTTGTTTTTGTTTTTGTTTTTGTTTTTGTTTTTGTTTTTATATAAAGAGTTCTATTTAATCTTCTCTGCTGTACTTCTCTGTATCCTTGCCCGCCTCATCGACAATGAACTGGTTCAAAAAAAATAAAAAATAAAAAAAAATGAACTGGTTCTCGAACAAGCCTTGCTCCAACGTCCCGGGCCGAGGTCCCACTAGCAAAAAGGATAGGATCGAGCTCCTGAATTTCAATGTCCATTTCCTGCACGCCATAAAAGCGTCCAGATTCAGGCATTCGATCCGATTCTATTTGCTACTACGGTAGTGGGAGCACTTTTTTTTTTTTGTTTTTTTCTTTAGGGACCACTGTTCCGAAGGATAGGTGACGAGAGTTCGACAGGCTGCGCGCTTGGGGCCTCGCTCCACCACCCGCTAAATGTGCAAAATGAGAATGAATTTTCCTCTAGAGTGTGGTAAGATACAGTGGCATAGTTTTTGTCGCATAATTTTTGTCGTTTGTGAATGTGATCAGTAATGGAGTGGCCATTTTTACACTTTTATTTATTTTTATTTGTTCCACTTTTACACTTTTATTTAGTTTTATTTGTTGTCTGCGCTTCGCCCTCTGCCACAAGAGATATATTGAATAACTCTTTTTGTTTTTTGGGAAAACAATAGAACTCGGAGATATGAACTATGAGAGGATCGGTGATCAAGCGCAAAATTTTGCAATTTGGCAAACGGCCTCTCTCCCTTACCCAACATCCGACATGTATCTGGCCAGCTTTCCGTACAGATACTGGATGTATTGAGACGGCTTTGACCTCCGGATACATTTATGAAGTTGTGCAGTGACGCGAGGCCCAAAGAACGAAGGAAAAGGCGGCACAAGAGTACGGAGAATCTCGGCAATTTCCGAGTTTTGGGGCCTCGTCGCACTACTCGCCATCCGCCAAAATTTTGACTGCATGTGGACATTGTGCTGTCCAGATGCATTCGAAATCTTGGGGGATGGCGAGTGGTGCAGCAACCAGGGCCTTGGGCAGTTTCAGCGATCCGAGAACATGGAGCCCTGGGGCGTGGTCCCACTAGCAAAGAGGATCGGATCGAATGCATGAATGTGGACGTGTTTGTGGAGAGGAGCAGGAAATCGAGATCGAACTGCTTTTCTGCATCTCTGCATAAAACACATCCAGATTCGGGCATTCGATCCGAAGCTCTTTGCTAGTGGGACCTCGGCCCCGGGAGTCCTTGGGATGCCCGCGGGCGGAGCCCCCGCTCCGAGAGCGGGGAGCCCTGGGAGTCCTTCGCATGCCCGCGGAGCCCCGCGGAGACGGGCGGGGGAAGAATTGAGTGCAGCAGCTCGGGGGAGGGGGACTCCCAGGGGAGACTTGAGCGCAGTAGCTCTCTCCTCCATCTTGTTGACGCCGCTACCGTAGTTGTGGTTAGGCTCGCTCGGGCTTCTGCGCGATTCATGTGCAGTTGTCAGCCTCGCTCTTCCTGTTTTCCTCTCCCCCCCCCCCCTCTATCTCTCTCTCTCTCTCTCTCTGTCTGTCTGTCTGTCTGTCTCTCTCTTTCTCTCTCTCTCTTGTTGCGCCCGGCCCCGCTCTGTCCTCGTCGTGCAGCAGCACATCTTGCCCTGTTCTACTTCCCGCAGAACAGCGAGGTGTTGGAGGCGATGCGTTTTTTGTGCGCTCGAAGGAGAGGAGGCCGAGGATGCGTTTGATGACAAGGCGGTGAACCAGCCGCAGTACAGTGGCTCCATGGCAGTTGTGGTGGCTGATAGTCCAACAACACCTTAGAAGTGCACCTTTCAAAGGCGCCACGCTTCTCTCTCTCTCTCTCTCTCTCTCTCTCTCTCCCGTGGTGCGCCGTAGCACGTCGACCCCTCCCAAAGTGGAGAAAGACACACACAGAGGCATGCCTTTTTGGTGGAGTTCTCTATAGGGAACATGACAAGACACACACAATACGCTCACCCAGAGAAGTACTGACAAGCCCACGGACCCATACAAGTACGCACATAGGGACATAGATATCACTACACACACTCTCACACACACACACACACAAGTACGCACATAGGGACATAGATATCACTACACACACTCTCTCTCACACACACACACACACACACACACACACACACACACACACACACAGAGAGAGAGAGAGAGAGAGAGAGAGAGAGAGAGAGAGAGAGAGAGAGAGAATGCCGCGGAGAGGGCCAGGAATCGCTGAGCTGGAGAAGATGTTGATGATAGAGAGAGAGAATAGGGCGATGGAGGCGCACGACGCGAATCTGCATGGTCTGCAGCACCGGACAGGAATAGGATTGGGGCTTGGCATGGGTGGAGTCCGGGTCTCAGCAGCGGAGGGGCGGGTGGGAGTCGGACTCGTCGGTGGAGTAGGTGGAGGAGGAGGAGGAGGAGGAGGAGGAGGTAATGCAGTAGGTGGTAGTGCTAACGTCCTTCGTCTGACCAGCTTCCAGGTGACGAAATCTCTCAGTCGTGGCATAGATCACACTCCTCCTCCTCCTCGTCCTAGCTCTCCGAAGCTGAAGCCGAGTTCTCATAATCACTTCCACTACCCTCCTCACCCTTTCTTGCCCGGTCCTTCCCTTTCCCGCGTTTCTGCTCTCCTCCCCTCCGCCCATCCCGCCATGCCATCGGGGCTAGAAAGGAGGGCGGAGAAAGAGGACCCCCCCTGCTCCCCTCGCCCTTCCGCTGAGGGCGATGGGCGCAAAGAAGGTGGCGGAGGTGTAGTAGACATGAACCGTGATCTTGGCCATCATTCCTGGCGCGGTCTGCCTAGCGACTGGCAGCTCTCTCTGTCTTCCCCTACCGGCCCTTGCAGCCATAACATGGGCAGCCGGTTTCCTTTTCAGGAAGGAGAGTGTGGGGGCTCTTGCATAACCACCACCTCCTCCACGTCACCACCTTTGAGGGAACTGGATCTGTTCCCCTTGTGCGCGGGAATCAAGGGGAGGTCGGTATCGGCGTCACGAGAGCCAGGCGGCGGAGGTGGGGGTTCTTCGCAAGCGCAATCGAAGCGCGGGGGCGATGGCGATGGCGACGGCGGCGGCGACGGCGGCGGCGGGGGGGAGGATCATTACTTCCGCGCGCCGGTTGCCTCTTCTCGTCGAGGAGGTGGCGGGGGAGAACTGACGTCAATGGCCGGAAGCGGGGGGAGATGGGAGGAGGCACCTGCCGCATGGCGACTGGAGAGAGGAGGGGAGAAAGCCGGCGGAGGAGGGGGGGGGTTCTGCAGTGATCGCCCATCTCTTCGGAACCATCTGACGGTCCCAACGCACAAGACAGTGGGCTTCGCGGAGGGGTCTCCGCTGGGAATGGCAGCGGAAGGGAGGCTGGAGAAACTAGAGAGAGAGAGGGAGATAGAAGAGGTGAGGTGGCGGGCGCTTGCGGGGGGGGCGGCGGAGAGGAAACAGAAGCGGGGGGAGGAGGGGGGGGATAGGAAGGCGGGGAATGACGCAGCAGGAAGAATGACAGATTGTAAAGAGGTGGGGAGGGAGGGTGGCCAGGCACAGCAGCAACAGCAGCAGCAGCAACAGCAGCAGCAGCAGCAGCTGTTTCAGCTACTCCAGAGAGAGAGTGGGGGGGGGGAGGCAGCCCGGCGCCAGGAGCGGTCCAGACATGCGGCGGAGATGGGGAGATTGTCGGGATCCTCGCTAGCGAGAGAGTTGGCGGGCTTCAAAGCGATCGAGGGAGCCGGGACGCCCAGGTCAGGCCCGAGCTCTTCGGACACGCAGCCAATTTTAAACAGCCACCTGGTGAGACTTGAATGTCTCTCTGTGTGAGGTTCGATGCGTGCATGTCTCTCTGTGTGAGGTTCGATGCGTGCATGATATATATATGATATATATATATGAATGTATTCGTATATATACATAATGCTGATGAGAGTCGGGGGCGCGCCTGAGATGCATCGTGCGTCCGACTAGACGCGTCACTCTATATGTCTGTATGCCTCTCTGTCTGTGTCTGTTCCTCTCTCTCTGCCCCTTCCTCTCTCGTGTATGTCACGCCGAAATCATCCAAGGCTGCTGCACGTGTGACCCGCCGCGTGCACACACAGACATGGGGAGAGAGAGAGAGAGGTAGAGGTAGAG